CTTAAAGGGTGTGCAACGTATTCGATCATTATCGTGCGATATTTACAGAACTTATCCCAGGTATAGCTAGACCAATTGCACTCAATTCATAAAGGCATTAATTTAATAATGCCTTTGCACAAAGAAAAAAACTCAGGCTTGTAAAGGTATTGATATCATAGAACTTACGAGATAAGAACTGTTGTTTTAATCAGACAAAAAAAAAGAAGATAATTGCATTAAAAAAACGCAGGTTCAGATAACTGTATTACTATAAGTGAAATGACAATATTATACCACAATACGCAATTTTGCAAAGTCCGTACTCGCAATTAGAAATATACTCATTTACGGAGTAAATTATATGAACAATGAAATACTCAGTTTCTTGTCACCGAAGCCGGTCGTAGCATATGATTGGAGGATCTACTTAACGAAAACGCCTCTTGCTTGCCGCTACACTTCAATACCAAATTAATGTCCGGAGAAGCAAACGTAGTCACAACATTACCAACATCTAATCCACTCAATTCTGGAATTTCTACAAGGCGAGTTCATTTACACTGAAAAGCTAATTGACAATCTCATGCAGGAACGCACACCGCCATACGAGGAAACGAGGGGTATAGATAATTCTGATAGTAGCGTCCTCTATTTCGTGTTGCGAGCACACTCGTGTTTGCTGGGGACTGATTAGGGATGTCTCACGCTATATATGTAAACGGGAGCAGTATTTGTACGCAAACAATTCGCTTGCAAACATTGGTTTACGGGCGTTGTAATGAGAAATATGGTATGAAAGCGTTGACAGCGCTCCATCGAGCTGTCAAATGTTCCGAGCAACATTTCCATCAACTCGCATAATACGACAGCATTTCCTTGCTGCCCTCCACTTCAATTCATACCTTCATAAGTGTTTTTCTTATTTTACATCAGCACAGTCTTCTGCACTCTTATGAATAAACTAGTCAGTGTGCATTTGTAGACAATTCATTGCTAAGAGATTCCCTTCGTTCACTGAATTGGAGTGGAATTCAATTTAAAACACCTTTTACAAATGTATCAATGTGATTTTTTCCAACATTTCCGGCGCCATCTTAAGATGAGATGCTAGATAATTCTCTTTCGTGTGAGAGCGTACCATTTTACTTTCCGGATCGACTTTGTGTTGATCCCACAACAGTGTACCACTAATGTCTACTCATCTCGATATGAGACATCTGAATCCTGCTTTTGATTTGTAAGGGGACGGAATCCGTTCTCACTGCGGCAGGAAATGTAAAGTACACACAAATTGTCAGGGCAAAAATACATTTCGCAAAAATATCTTCAGATTCTCAATAGTTTTTTCGAGATCTGTACAAATACTGCATTTCCTGTCGGAGCGGGATTCCGACCTCAACTAGCAGCGTCTGAACTTCAGGAGCTGTGGGAGAAAGAAGATCGTGTTCTACAACCATAAAGCCATGGAAAGTTCGCGGTCTCAAAACGATTCGGCAAAGGTTATTTGCTTTCTTGCAACCGTTATTCATAGATATTCGAAAGTACCACTGAGAAAACGAAAACAGTAGAACATTCTTTGTATTTTTTTCTTTCTTCAAATTGCGGTGGTCATTTCGGTGCGAACATACATGTAAATCAGACAGCAATTTCCCTTGCTGGCTAACATTCTAAATTCCTCATCTGCTTCCAAGTGCATTTATTGAATGAGCAACGTATTCTTTCAGTTTTGTAGTTTTTCGCAGAACGATCGGCTATCAAACCGAGAACCCTTGCCGAACATCATAAATTGCACTCAAGATCTTCACAAGTGTCTCCCAAAGCAGCTCGCCTTCTCAGAGTGGTGTGTCCTTGTGGAACGGACCCCGCCCGCAGCGGCCTCCGGCAGCCAGTGCCAGTCGGCCAGACGGCGGCCCACGGGCGCGCGACTGGCGCTCGGGGGCCGGCAGCTGCTCTGTCCTGCGCCGCCCCGCTCGGCTTCTCCACCCCCGCCTCGCCCGCGCGTCTTTAGAAGTAGGCTGCGTGTTATTCAGTGTCAATACGCCACTCGGCCTTCCTACTCCTACACTCGACGTTAGGTGTCGTTACATCCACGTGAGATCCCTACGACGAATTGAAACAAGTGTCCGCAGTTCCCCAAGCCCGTAGGTTACCCGATCTCAGGGAGACTAGTGTGGTGATCGAGGTCATTCCAAACAATATTATTATTTCCTGGGAACTCTTCAAATTAGCGGCAAAAGCATTGTTAAACACTAACGGGGACGTCAAAGGTCCATTATTCGAATATATCACACTAGCTATTTATCGATGCAAATCAATATAAAACGTTTTAGATCATTTTCAAATTTGTGGTTAGAATTAAAAACAAATCTGGAAATAAGATCACCTTCTAGACGAACACTAATCTCGCCTCTGATCTCGGTGACAGTCTTTCACTCTCCGAAAGGTATCACTAACCACAATAGCACAATTCCCGATATCACCCATTTGCACTCATTATCCTTCCGATAAAACATGTGTTGTGAGTCTATGTACCGCACGAAATAAAGAAATGGTCAAGGATTGTCGTCGCTTCCGATGTGTAGAACCAACAAGCACAATTTGTCTGCGTCGCCACGGCTGCAATTTTCAAGGGTGGCTACCTTTGGGTATTTTCGTTGGCTTTTTGATAAGCGGGCAAAGAATGCACACTTATTGAAAGCTACCAAACCAATAAAAATTGACATTGTTCACTAACGATTTTCACCAATACAAGCTTCATTTCTGATTAGTAGACCTCGTTCATTTTGCCCCTACATTTCCTTTCGAAAACTGTTTCCCAGTACATAAAAATTATCCACATATGCGCGATACTAATTACTTCTGAACAAACAAATTCACTGATCAACGAAGACAAAAATGATTTCTTGTTCTCCACAGTACGAGAGAGTAAATACACAGGAGAATTTCTACTCTTTCACGGCAACGCTATCTATTTTCGCAGAGAAGACAATGGTTGGCTCCCAGTCTTCCGTCACATTCCACCGAAGTAACGTTCGAATCCGAAGTCAAGCAAGCACGTCTTACCCGGCGAACATTCGCGGAGGGCAGCTCATTGTCACTGAGCACCTCGCAGACAAAAAAAAACAAAAAACACGCAGGTAAAAGCCGGAGCGAACCGCAACCCGTCCGGCTCACCGGCTAAAGAGCCCTCAAAACCTCCGAAATTTCACGAGGCGCTTTTTATGTCCCGATGTCGCGCCACGAAGATGAGCCCTGCGGGAGGCGCTTTTAGCGCGCGGCGTAACTCCGTTAATTTTTAACGCGTTTTTAAAACGCGCCGGGGCATGCAGGCGAACGCGCTTGCCATGCACACGACCGCAGGGGCAACAGCAACCGCCGTCGCCGTCGCGTGTGCATCCGGATCGTGGCACCGCGGAATCGCTTTTGCTCGAACGGCTGAGAAAGGCCAAACAAGAAGGTGAACGGCACCACTTGCAGGGAACAGCGTTGGCCTCAGTTAACGCGGCAAAC